CCGCCCCACGGCAGCTTCTTCCCCAGCGAGCCCTGCGTTGTTTCATTGCTCAGGGGTTTTGTGCTCCTGAGAGACTGCAGGGAAAGCCGCGGGCTGGCTCTGGCCCCTGGCTGGGGGGGGGCTCGTCCCCGAGCCCCTGCACCCCAGTGTCTGGCCACCTCCCCCTGCGAGCCAGCTTATGGCTTTCGGGCATTTTCCCCATCTGCCGAGCCATGCATTACACCGTGTCCCGCCATTTGGCGCGGGGGATGGAGGGCGAGGGAGATCCCCGTGGTGTTTAAAAGGATCTGGGTAAATCCTCTTAAGAGAGGCACTGACTCAGCAGAGCGTGGTGAGAGAGGAGGAGGAGGAGGAGGAGGGAACCAAATTGTCCTTGTGGGGCTGGAGCTGCTGCCGAGCCCCGGGGGCGGGGGGAGCGGGGGCAGGCGCGTGGGACCTGCCCCGAGAAGCATCCCCTCTTTCCTCACCAAATTTTAGGTGGTGTCCATCTCCCCAGGGCAGAAACGTGAGCCTTGTAGCTGGGTCGGGCTCTGGCCCGGAGGTGCCTGTCCCCAGGGGTGCAGGGACCTGTCCCAGTTGTGCCCAAGCCCACCTTGGTGCTGCTCCCCAGGGCTTACTCCCAGATTTGAGCCCCCCCCTTGGATTTCTGCCCCGTGTGCGTGGCCGGTGCTCCCAAAGCTCGCAGGCGGCTTGTTCGCACGGTTATCGTTTATTACTAAAGGGGCGCTGAGGTGCTCAGCTCCCGCAGGGACAGATTACCGACGTTACGGTCAGACCAGACGGCGTTGTCACCTTACGGTGGCTGGGCGGGGTAGGCGGCAGCCGAGGCTGGGTATGGGGGTGCGCTGCCACCCACCCCCCTTGCTGCCCAGCGAGGGGTCCTCATTCTGCCCGGCGCTGGCACAGCCTGGGTTTGCAGAAGGGCTGTGGTGCAGAGCCAGGGCACACGGAGCAGACGGAGAGCAGCTTCCCAAAGTCCTGGCTCCGCCTGTTCGGGCTCAGGTGGGCCCTGGGTTCAGCCGGCCAGGAGGACTGGTGTCGCCTGGTTTGTGTTTCCGAGCAGGCAAGGAGACTCTCGCTGCCTGCCGGCTGTTGCCTTTGGCTTGCCATCATGCCTCGTGCGAGCCCAACAAGAGCATCTCTGCCGCACTTTACCCTCCTTATCTCATGGTGTATCTTGTCCTCCCGTGCAGAGCTCCACGCAGGAGATCGGAGAAGAGCTGGAGGATGGTGTGATCTACAGCATATCGCTCCGGAAAGTGCAGCTCCATCACACGGCCAACAAAGGGCAGCGATGGCTGGGGGTAAGCTGGGGGCTCCGCCAGCCGCCCGCCACGGGCTGGTTTCAGACTTTTCCCTGCCGGAGACATGGCGACCTGATGTCAGGGCTTGGCAGGGTCGATGCCAGCCCGTTCCTGCCCTCTTCTTGCTCCCCCATGTGCTCTGTCCTCAGGGCTCCTTCCAAGCCTTATCTGGGAATCATGTATTTATTTGGGAGCACCCACTGGCCTCTGCCCCACAGGAAAGGGCACAGGGGGGAAACAATCTGAAGCCCCATTTTGCAAAATAGGGCAATTCTGATTTGCATGTAGATTTTGGCAACCCTGAGGCCCTTCCTGGGACTTTCTAAATGCTCGAGTCTTCTCAGCTGAGTTGCTGGTATTTGGTGTCCGAGGAGACCTGGCTTCCCTTTCCCCAGGCCCATCACGAGAGCCCCAGGTGCTGCGGGGGGGTCTGTGGTCCCAGCCTAGAGCCAGACGGTGGCTTGTGAAGCTGCTGGCACCGCATTGCACTTGAACGTGTCTGTCTTCATCCAGCCCACTGACTTCTGCTCCTGTCCTGGCAGTTTGAGAACGAGTCGGCCTTAAACCTCTACGAGACGTGTAAGGTGCGGACGATAAAAGCCGGGACCTTGGAGAAGCTGGTGGAGTACCTGGTCTCAGCCTTCAAGGGCAATGACTCCACCTACGTCACCATCTTCCTGTGCACTTACCGGGCCTTCGCCACCACCAAGCAAGTGCTGGACCTGCTGCTTAACAGGTGAGGCTGCCCTGAGCTGGGGGTGGCCGACGGCTGAGCCCCCTTGGTCGGGAGAGCACCAGCGTCTTCTGCTGCTGTGCTCTGGAGAGTTGATGGGCTCCTCCCAACCCCGTCCGCATGAAAGTTTTGGGGCAGGGCAGGGAGGAGACAGCTTCCAGGGAGCCGCAGCCCTTCCAGCTGGTACCCTGCTGCGAGGGCTCTTCCCACAATGCAGGGGCTGTGGCAGACTGGGGGAACAGGAGAGTGCATGAGAGGTTCATCCCAACCCCCTGGCAGAGCTGGGCATGATGTGGAGGGAGAAGAGGCAGTGCTGAGACACAGCTGAGTCCAGGGTGCTCACTGCCTCCTCGCTGTGTCCCACCAGGTACGGCAAGCTCCACGTGCAGGCGAATGGGGACCATGCCAGGCACGCTGTGGACGAGAGGATGGAGCTCAAGAAGTAAGTCTGACCACTGTGGATGAACAAGATGGGTGGCTCTGGTGATAGCTCTTGGGTTCTCGTACAAAGGCGTGTGATGTCCCAATGGTGCTCCTGGTGCCTGGGACTTGCGGGGGCGCACGCAGGTTTCTCCTGGCACCCGATTCTCACACAGGTTTGTCTGTGTTTTCCACCCCTTCCCACAGCACCATCTCCTCCATCCTGGGCGCCTGGCTGGATCAGTACTCAGAGGACTTCCGCAAGCCCCCGGACTTCGCGTGCCTCAAGCAGCTCATCTCCTATGTGCGCCACAACATCCCTGGCTCGGACCTGGAGCGCCGTGCCCGCATCCTGCTCGCCCAGTTCCAGCAGCAAGAGCAGAGCGAGTCTGAGGCAGAAGGTGGGGGGGTCCTTTCCCTGCTTCCAGGGGGTCGTTTGGGGCTGCAGGTGCAGAGGGTGCTACTGGTTGGCATCAAGGGTCTCCAAAACCTCGTATCTTACCACGTGGCTGAACCCCCATAAACCCTGCCTGCGTTTACATGGAGGTACACCAGGAAGCTAATCCAGCTGCACCAGAAGTGGGATTTCTAAGTGGATTAGCTAATCTGTCTTTAATCCTCTGCAGACACTTGTGTCCAGATTTAAAATGACTATCCTGTTATCTGAGCCTTGTTTCTCGAGGCGTGAAGCCAGATGGGAATTAAGAGCCTGGGAGGTGGGAAGTGGGATGTGGGTGTCCGCAGGGGGCTGGTGTGGGTCGGTGTGGGCCCCGGCTCATGGCAGCTCCGTGGTGCTCAGCTTCACGCCGTCTCTCACAGCTGTGGACCACGGCGGCTGCACCTTCCAGCTGGTGGAGGAGAACGGGGTCGGGGACGGGAAGCCGGATTTCCTCTCCTTCTCTCCAGAGATGGTGGCAGAACAGTTCACGCTGATGGATGCTGTGAGTATTCATAAGACAGCCGGGTCGATGGTGCTCTGCCCGCCTGCTACCTGCTGCTCTGGGCACAGGTCTCTCTTCCCTTCCACCTTTTCCTCCTGGCCTGTTCCCTCCCCAGGGACCTCAAAGAGATCCGTCTCCATCCTTTTGTCTTCCAGGAGCTGTTTAAGAAAGTGGTGCCTTACCACTGCCTGGGCTGCATCTGGTCCCAGCGAGACAAGAAGGGCAAAGAGCACCTGGCGCCCACCATCCGTGCCACGGTCTCGCAGTTCAATAGCGTGGCCAACTGTGTCATTGCCACGTGTCTCGGAGACCGGTCCCTGAAGCCGCAGCAGAGGGCTAAAGTGGTGGAGCGGTGGATTGAAGTGGCTCGGGTAGGACAGCTCACCACCCCGCTCGCCTCCCACCTTGGGCTGAGGTTCTGCAGCATGTGAATCCCAGCAGATCCCCGGGCTTTCTTTAACGCTGAGTCCTGTCATCTCCTTGTCTGCCCCTAGGAGTGCCGCATCCTGAAGAACTTCTCCTCTCTCCGAGCCATCCTCTCGGCTCTGCAGTGCAACGCCGTTCACCGGCTGAAGAAGACCTGGGACGAGGTCCTACGGTAAGCAGCGTCTTCTGGGCTCCTGCGGCCACGGGGAGGTTTCAGGGGGGAGATTCTGCTGTGGCTGTGGGCCTTGAACGTGTAGATGGGATCATCTCTGCTCTGGCGTTGCCTCTTGGAGTGTGCCCAAAACAGGGCACAGGGACCAGCATAAGATATTGGGGATCTAAGGAGGGTGAGGAAATAAAAGCATCGTCTCCTCCTCTTCCTTTCCATGCAAAACACCCTGGAATAGCCCCCAAACAGCAAGGCCCTGCTCAAGCTGCAAGCATAGCTGGGGTCGTTTGGGTGAGCAGAAGAGAGCCCGAGGAGGAGACCCCACCGTGGCAGCGTTGCTGATTCTTCCCCTTGTTTCCCCCTGAGCAGGGAGAGCTTCCGCACTTTCCACGAGCTCTCAGAGATCTTCTCCGATGAGAACAACCACTCGCTGAGCCGGGAGCTTCTCATTAAGGTATGGGGAAGCGGCACCCGCATCGCCCTGTCTCTGGCAGGGAGCTCAGGCTGATGCCGGCAGAAGTTTCCACCGTGTTCCAGCCACCAGGCTAAAGCCCTGGCAGCGCTGCTGGGGTTGCAGGCACGGGTGCAGGCAGGGTGTGCTGAGTCTGAGGAGCAGGCAGGGGGTTTGGACCAGGCTGGGCTTTCTGCCTCTCCACCCAAAAGTTGTCATTGCCTGAAGCTTGCAGAGCAATTCAGCAAGCAGAGATAAGCAGTGGGATAGGATCCAGTGTGCCAGGTGACGGCTTCTCCCCAGAGGCAGCTGCATTTTAACAGCCCGGTGCAAAGTCCTCTTGATTTCAGGTGGGGTTGTAGGGTTCCTGAAAGGCTGCAGCAAAAATGTCCTTCTTCCCCATGGAGCCTCTCTGCAGCTTCCCAGCCTAGCTCCAGTTTGGGGGCTGAGAGGACACAAAATGCGAAAGGGAACAAAAGATTCCATTGAGGAGCTATTTATACAGAGCTGGAAATGGGAGCAGCAGTTCCTATTCACTAAGCCTCTCCTCCCTGAGAGCCATGAAAAAGCTCAGCTCTGATTTCCTCTTCTTTCCCTCTGCAAGAAAAGTTGTACCAATAAGAGCGGGTGTGAATTTTAGCTCATCTGTTAGTGCACCCACGCTGATCCCCACCTCTCCCCACCATCCAGGAGGGAACGTCCAAATTCGCCACCTTGGAGATCAACCCGAAGAGGGCTCAGAAGCGGCAGCAGCAGCAGCGAGAGATGGTGAGTCTGGTCTGGCCGTCCCCGTGTCCCCTCCCTGGCAGCTGCCCGGGCCGTTCTCTGCTGACCCTGGCTGTCCCTTCTGTCCCCGCAGGGCGTGATGCAGGGCACCATTCCCTACCTTGGCACCTTCCTCACGGACCTGGTCATGCTCGACACCGCCATGAAGGATTTCCTGGATGTATGTACCTCCATCTCTATCCTCCTCTTCCTCTCCTTCCTCCACACAGCTGCCGTGGAGCCTGGGCTGATAAATGGAGAGCTGGTCCCCCGTGCGTCCCGTATCGGACACTGCACCCTGTGCATCCACTGCTGTGAGCCCATGGAAATGGGCCGCTCTCGCCCTGCCCCTCGGCAGGGACACCCCCACTGCCGTGGCAGCGAGCTGGGGAGCAGGGAGGGATGGGAGCAATATTTTTGTGCCTGCTCCGCACTGACATTTGGCTCCTTCTTTTCCAGGGAGGGCTGATCAACTTTGAGAAGAGAAGGAAGGTGAGAGCTTGGCCCTGGCAGCCGCACAGCAGGGTGGAGGGAGGAGGCTGAGCTGGTGCAAGCCCAGGCTGTGCCAGTCACTTTTGGGTTAATCCCTCTCGTTTATTGCTGTCACATTCTTCATTTTTGGGGAGGGGGATTCTGGCCCTTCATATCTGTGCGTGGGGCTGGGCTGTTCGTGGAGGAGGCTGGGGGTGGCAGACAGATCTGGTCTCATGGCTTCTGTTTGCTCCAGGAGTTTGAAGTCATCGCCCAGATCAAGCTGCTTCAGTCTGCCTGCAACAACTACAGCTTCACGCAGGAGGACCAGTTCGTGGACTGGTTCCACAGCCTGGAGCGGCTCAGTGAGGCTGAGAGGTGAGCGTGAGCAGGGTCCGGGCCGTGCGGCCACCGGTGCATCAGGAGGTCCCATCGCTCGGCTCCTCCGGCTGCTCCCTGCTCTGCCTCCCTCGCCCTGCCGGCATGGTGCTCGCCATGGCCGTGGCAGCACGGAGAGCTCAAACCCTCATCTCTCCCCTCCCAGCTACGGGCTGTCATGCGAGATCGAGCCACTGTCTGAGTCGGCCAGCAACACGTTGAAGGCAAAGAAAAACACGGGCATCATCAAGCGATGGCGCGAGTGAGTCTGCTCGTCCCCGGTGGGAT